AGGACCCGGCGATCCGCTACCAGGCGGGGCTGGAGCTCGCCTGGATTGAGGATTGGGTCGAGTCCCGGCGGTGCAACGCCGCGGCGGGGTCGTCGTTGTTTCCCGTGGAGGCCGGGGAAGCGCTCGCGACCGACGACGACGCCCGCCGGGCGATCAAACGCGCCGTTCTCGAGCGCGTGGAGCTGCACAAACCGCTCGCGTACGTCCTCGGGGTGGAGGTCTTTCTCGGCTGCGCGATTCGCTGCCGTCCGCCGTTGCATCGCCCGCGCGGGGCGACGGCCGGGTGGGTGCGGTGGCTCGTCGTCGAGCACCTCCGCCGGCTGCGCGGCGACGCCCCCTCCTTCGCGGTGCTCGACATGGGGTGCGGGACGGGGTGTGTGGGGATCGCCCTCGCGCGAGAGGTCCCACGGGTGAAGGTGTGGGGGGTGGATATCCTCCCTGAGGCCGTCCACGCAAGCCGCGAGAATGCCCGCCGGAATGGCCTCCCGGAGGCGCGCTATACCGCCATCCAAAGCGATCTTTTTGGGTGGTTTTGCACCTCAGAAGGTGAAGGGGGGGCGGGCGTCGATTCTCGGCCTCGTGCGGAGCGGATCGCCGACGTTCATCGCCATTCGTTCGATCTCATCGTCTGCAACCCCCCTTACCTCCTCCCCTCGCAGTACGACGCCCTGCCCCCTACCGTGAAGCACTGGGAGTCGAGGCTGGCATTGGTCGGCGACGCCTACCGCGAATCGAAGCAGTATCTATATTTTCAGGAGCTCTGCGAATACGGCGTCGCGATGCTCAAACCCGATCGTTTGAAGGATCCGGAGTTGCGGACGATCCCGAATTTGGTGTTCGAGGTGGGGTTGCAGGCCGAGTTGGTGGCTTCGTTGATGGAAAAGAGCAAAAAATGGACGAATGTGGAGGTCCACCTCGACGATACACAGCAGCCGCGCTGGATTACCGCCATCTCCGTTCACTAGGCCGTTGGTGGAAAAAGGGGGATGGATGGATGAAAGGTCGCAACCCTAACGAATCCCTCTGTGAAGAAGAGAAGGTGTGTGCGTTTGTGTGAGGCAGAAGTATTGGGAAATGAATAAGGAGGATCATATGTGTATCGCAGCAAATTGGCTGCTGACGAGATTGATGTGGGCGCGCCAAATGGGGAGAGAGGGATTCTTTGCTTTCTTCACAGGCAATTAGGATGCTTACTTGGTTGAGTGATTTGTGTATATCGAGCCGTTAAATTACTGTATTTTTTTCAGATGCGAAGTGAGGAAATGACAAGCACCCCTAGTGCTTCCCATCAGTTCTATTTGCGCCGTGGTACTTCATTTTTCTTTTTTTCTGTTTTTCATTCCATGCCATGGGTGGGTTTCCTTTTTATTTAAATATACTCACATTACAAAGCTATCCAACAGTGACACTCAGTGTTTTTATTATCCAACACTCATCATATATAAGTCTCTGTATTATTTGAATTCATGGTTCTAGTAGAGTGCAAACGTCTCCCCAAGGAGGAGTACAGCAAGGACTATGACGCTTTCCTTGCCTCCTTTCCTGGAAATACCAACATTGGTGTCGCAACAGATGCGTTGCAGAAGATGCAAAACACGCGCGTGCGCCTGAAGTGGATGATTGCCGCGGCGAATCAGCTCGCCAAGGATTCCTGCGAGGAGGATCAACGCCACCACCTCCTAGGCCCCGCACGCGATGCGGAGGCGTACCTCTCGTTGGAGCGCAACCAGAATCGGCAGGTTTGCACCCAGGAAGAGCTCGATGCGCTCGTGAACGCCTTTAAGGGTGGGGTTATGATTCTTTTCCCGGAGGAGTGCAGCGGCGCGGATGCCTGCCAGCGGTTGACGGCCATTCTTGAGGATGACGACACTCCGGATGCGCGGAAGTCGAAGACGCATCGCATCCTGAGCCTCATCGACGACGGCGCGACGAACGAGGCGACGTTGGAGGGCGAGGCGGTGATGTGGTGGAGCGCGAGGCCGCTCGCCCGCGATGCCGACTTTCTTCGCTACATTGGCAAGAACGAGAAGACGAAGATTACGGTAAAACTCGCGCCGGTTGGGGGCGCCGCGCCGCCGCGTGAGCCCGCCCTGGATGCCAGAACCCAGGCCGAACTCGTCGCGTACTACCATCGAAAACAAGAGGAGAACAAGAAGTTGATCGAGGATGAGGATATTTCGTACGGCAATAGTGAGTGGGCAAACCCACATGGGCTAAAGAGTCAGTTGCAGGGATTCAACGGGATTAAGTATCGCCCTTCCTAACATCAGCTTCATAGTGCATCAGGTATTGCCCCTCTCTCTCCTTTCTCGCATGCGATGGGGGTTCCTTTGTAAATTAAATAGTGGGGAGGGGGGGGGGGATTCACATGTGTTTTATAATCCTGTGGAAGGGTGACTCCCTGATATCTTATTAATATTCTCATCATTTACTCCTACTATTTTTGTGTATTATTGAGTGAAATAAATCGCCTTTCATACCCACCATTTCAGTCCTTGCATCTGTACTACAGAGACCTACGCCAACATGAACTGCCGGAATATGCATCATAGAGTTGAAAATTCGAACAAGGTAAACAATTGTTGAACGCTTTGGCATACTCTATCGGAGTGGCGTGGGGTTTTGATAGAATGCTTAACAACCAGAAAAATGTAGACTATGTGAAATAAGGTGGACTCAATCAAGAATAATAATATCAGAAGAAACTTATTGCTAGTGCTCTTAGCGCGTTAGATCTTGTGGGATTAGCTAAACGGCAATGGCGATGCCGTTTCCTTCCTTTCGCCCTCAATTTCTCGTCATCTAATGCTTCTCTTATACCCTTTTGGAATGTTTTCCTTCCCTTTTTCTAATGTACGTGTTTAGAAGGTTTGCCTGCCGTGAAGCGCAGAAGATTAGCCAAGAAAGCCGAAAGGAGCTTTGAAAAGCGAACACGACATCCTACAGAAGGAAAGAGTAGTGCATCATGGGCGTGGATCTGACCGGTGTTTCGAAGAAGAAGCGTGTGGTCCGCCATCACACCTACTCGACCAACCCTTACATCAAGCTTCTCATCAAGCTCTACAAGTTCTTGGCCAAACGCACCAACTCCGGCTTCAACAAGCTCGTCTACCAGCGTCTTTTGAAGAGCCGCAGTAACCGCGCGCCGGTCTCGCTTAGCCGCATCGCGGTTGTCATGAAGCGCAAGTCCAGCTTCCTTGAGAAGAGCAAGAAGGCGCCGATCGCCGTCGTCGTGGGGGATATCCTCGATGACGTCCGTATGTCCCGCATCCCGGCCCTCCGTGTGTGCGCGCTGCGCTTCTCCAAGAACGCGCGGCAAAGCATCACGGCCGCCGGTGGTGAGTGCTTGACCTTCGACCAACTGGCCATGATCGCACCTACGGGGAAGAATACGTTCTTGCTGCGCGGCCGTAAGTCCGGACGTGAGTCGGTTCGCCACTTCGGTGCCGCTGGCGTGCCTGGCAGCCATGCCAAGCCGCACTGCTCGAATCGTGGTAAGGAGACAAAGCGCGGCCGCCGTCCGGGCTGCTCGTACAAGCGCAAGTCCTTCCGTCACGTTTAGGCGTGCAGAAAAGGAAGGCGCGCGGTGGAGGATTCAAGAATGCGAAATACTGGCAGAACCTGTGTTATTTGTTAAATACGTATTTTAAAAAACGATAAAAAAATACATTCTATGTTTTTGGGATGAGGGCGAATCGGGTCGTTTCTTCCACTGTTAGTTAAAATATAGAGATTAGTTATGGATAATTACTTTTTGTGTATCTTTATTCTTTATCTTTTAAACTATATTCAAGTGATTTTAGTAAGTACATTAACTAAATAACCAAAAAATAGAAAGACTGAAAGAATAATAGAATCCAGTAAATTATACAGCATGCATATTATAAGGTCACGACTTTCGATAAAAAGACAGCCGTAAAGAAGAAAATCATGATAGAACAATCAGAAAAAAATATAGACAGTCAAATAAAAACAGATAAACCTAAAATTATACATATTACTATTTAAAGTACAATACACTCC